TTGTCAAAAAAAAAGAAAAAAAAAACTAAAGCTAGTATACTAGGCTTAAATTATTTCAATTGRGAAGATTAAAACCCAAGGCCATTAGCTCCTTTTATAATAGTTGGAACATACCCTTTCATTGTACCTTTTCGATGTGAGTCAACTTCTAGCAGTTGGAGCACATCAATCCTTACTTTTCCGATGTGGGACAACTTCCATTCCAATATTTTGTCAAAACCCAAAAATTACAACCTTTGCAGATGCTTAAATCCCTGCTTTTGTAGGTTCCAACTCAAGGCTTAATGCTGTAAATGAAAAGGATGTGAATCCCGAAGCGGAAGTAGTAGAACGCATTCTTGAATTTTTTGAAATTTAAAACACAGAAAAATATAAAACAAGGAAGAATGTTGGATTTTACTTTTGAAGATTCTTCTTCGTGTGATCCTAATGAGAAACATCACTTGATCTTCCTTACTATGTCTCTCGGTCGAGAATCCATGGGATCCAATTGCAGATTTTAAGCATTTTTCTTCTTTTTCCATGCCTTTAGGATTCAAGAGAAAAATCCTAAGACCATTAGGATATCTTATCCTTTTTGGATATGAGATATCTTCTCCTGAAACTAGGGAAAATCCAAGACCATGAGGATATCTTCATCTTTTTAATTAATAATAGACAAATCAATTAAATTAATTAACAATTAATTAATTAATTATTAATTATTAATCTAATTAATAATTAATAATTAATATATTTAATAATTAATTAATTTAAATCCAAATATTAATTTAAATAAATAAATAATTAACAATTAATCATTTAACTTTTAATTAAATATCGCATATTTAATTAAAACTATATATTTAATCATATTTAAATGCATTTCTCTGGTATAACCTATAATTTTAATATGAATAATTCATATTAATTATTTGAATCCTATTCAAATATTTCTCTCCTAACATATAGTATAATTTGAAGACAGGGGAAAATTGAAAAAATAATTAAATCAAAAATTGGGATAACGGGTAGGAAGAGTAATTAATTACTGCATTGGAAAGGTGGAAAGACAAATGGGACTGAKGATTTGAAAGGGCACATTAATTAATTAACCACCCTCCCTCTTACTAACCTCTTAATTATAAGATAAGTGGGTATGAATATATACGTCTAGAATGCGAGATAGCGAGAAAGAGAGAAATCGAGAAATTTAGAAAGCGARATAGCGAGAAAGAGAGAAGTCGAGAAATTTAGAAAGCGAGATAGCGAGAAAGATAGGTTATCTTTGCGATATTATAAATATACATGGAGAAGAACGATAGCGAATGAGATCGAGAGCATAACATCGAGACAGCGAGAGCAAGACATCGAGATCGAGACAACGAGATCGAGAAACCGAGATCGAGTCAATTAGAGCGAGACAGCGAGATCGAGTCAACGAGAGCGAGATAGCGAGATCGAGTCAACAAGAGCGAGACAGCGAGATCGAGTCAACGAGAGCGAGACAAAATAAGCCATAAAGCGAGACAGATTCCAAATACTGAAGAACAAATATATATACTACTACAGAAATTGGGTGTTAGAGGAGGAACTGCCCTATCTGATTGACTTACACCGTCCCCCCCATATATGCATCCAGATGTCCGTGCTTACGTAATTGGGTTAGTACATGTCTGTCTATTGTAACCCGATGTACCGCATCGAGAACACTTGTTGACAACACGACGCTCACCGGTTGAGGCGATCCGTTGCGTTATACTCTGGCCTGCACGTTTAACAAGTCGTGGTGGTTGGACGGGAATAGGCTGGTAATCAGCTGGCCTTTTCCATTCCGACATGTGGCCTACCGATAAGATTGGTTCRGCGTAGGCAGCAATTAGAGAGTCCACATTGTAGCATGGATCGATCAACRTGTGACAATTTATATTCTTGTGCCTTRCTGCTGCAATTGCGTGCGAACATGGAATGCCCATGTACTGGAACTCCATGCATGTACATGTAYAGGCATTCAAATCAACCGTCTCGTCCAAGCCACCGTCCTCAACATGAAAACTGGTTTGACTGTGTAGCGACGAGACTTYTCAAACTGTAGTACAAGTCGCTCTTCTGCATAGTTTGAATGAGAGGTGTTTTGGGTGGACCAGTGAGTCCTTCTTTCGTGGAACCATCTYTGTAGCAATTCGCGGATGAAATCGACAATCTTAGTGATACGTAACTCTCTAGCCTCTCGAAGGAGGGCATTTACCGACTCAGCGCTGTTTGTCGTCATGTTTTCATATCTTCTACCAACTTGGTAGCATCGGGCCCACCGTTGTACCCCAATTTCTTGTAAGTATTTGGCAAGTGAACCCGATCCAATCGATAGTATCTGGTTCCAGTAGTACGTGAACTRTGACTTYCGATACGCATACGCTGCATCCTGATACAATTTGTAAAATGCAGCATTCTTGAATCGAGWCTTTAKGTTGTTCCCTARGTGATAAGTGCATATAGCATGGAATGCATCCGGGAATATCTCACTTGTTGCATTGGTGATACTTACATGTCGATCAGATATGAATACAAGTTCTTGTGGGTCTCCGATCATGTCCTTCAAGTTCTTCATAAACCACTTCCACGATGCATCGCTTTCGTTGTCTACAATCGCGAATGCAAGTGGATATATTTGATTATTCCCGTCCATGGCGACACCCATTAGTAGCACTCCTTTGAACTTCCCCTTCAAATGTGTGCCATCAACCATAATTACACGCCTTGTGATTGACTGAAACCCTTTAATGCTGGCACCCAATGCCATGAACATGTATTTGAAGTTAAGCGAACCTTCAGTCTCGAGGTGGAAAATAGTACCTGGATTCTCTATTTTTATCGCTTCACCGTACGCATGGAGATGCATGTAGGAGTCCTCCGGTCGGCCCCTAACAATAGCGTATGCTAACTCTCGTGCTCGATGGGCCTTGTCATAACTTATGTTCACCCCGAACTCTTTACGGACATCCTCCTTAATATGCTTTATCTTGTAAATACGATCGGTTCCAGCAACTCTATTCTTAATAAGATTCGCTACGACCCAACTGCTTGCCTGTTTGTGGTCGTGGTTCACAGTGTCAATCATGCAGGTGTGTGCATCTACATACTTTCATATACAAAATATCGAAGATTTACCGACGGAGTGGCCGCAACCCTTCAATTGCATGTATTGTCGATGCAGCGAACAACGAACTTTGATTTCGTTGACCTACTGACCTTGTATTCACGGTTAGATCGCAGCTGCATTTGACAGCACCATACGCAGGTCTTGCTTTGAAATGAATATCTTTCCCACGTGCAGTTCCGATCCGCCTGGTAAAAGGTTGTACCTTGTGGCCTATTCTATAGTCACGGTGCTTGGCGATTGAGGTACTGGTATTTGGTGATCACCAACATTACCAGGGTCACTGGATGAGGGTTCTACTAATGGGAAAACATGGTCTGTCAAAGGACTTGCATCTTGTACTTGTGATGTATTATTTAATTCATCAAATGAGAATACATGTACCGTACGAGAACTTGCATGTTGTACTTGTGCTGTATTATTTATCTCATCTGATGGGACGTGCATTACGGGAGGCATGCGTGTCGCGGGAGCAACCAATTCCGAGTCTTGAGTGTATATACAGTCTGAACTATACATGTCCTGCATGTATACGTCGTTCAACCCCCACTCATCTACCCYGTGGAACCTTCTTCCGGTACAGATCCTCCATTAAGAATGGACTGCTCTCCATCTTGGTTTAATCTAGACGACTGTATATCAATGCCTTCACGAAGGACGGTCGATACAAACAGTGGGACTTTAGAAACCTGTTCTTGTACTAATGCAAATCGGAGGTCATCGTCATCCGTTACGAACATTGGCGGTGAATCGCATGCCAAGTGGTACAGTACCCTAATTACYAGGTCGTACCCATTCTGGTCGACTTTCATCACTCTGTACAACCGATTTTTCAGTTCTTTGTACGTTACTGTAAGTGGGACAATTATTCATTTCAGCTCACCGCCGACGTACGAATTTGTGTTGTCTTCCCACGTACCACCAAATCTTATGAATAAACTTTAACCAATCTCCATCCTGCATTAGGAGACAAATACATACATGGATTTTAGATTATCGAACAAAACATGTAGGCTACAGAGTCCTCAAACGGTATCTATTTAAAACGTACCTGTCTAGTTCAGTGAGTGTGGGATAGTTAAAAAAAAATAACGTGACGGGGAATGTTGGGAAAAGCCTGATGTATTAATCATCAGAATAGTTAATTTAACACGTGAATACACATTAATGGTTGTGAGAGAGTGCTTACAGTGTGATAAGGAAGTGTAATGCAATCAATGTCCTTCTGATGCTTCAACAACCGAGCAAGGAAGAGA